AAAAAAAAAAAAAAACCAGTTGGGCGTTGGCTGGTGCCCATGGCTCAGTGAGTAGGGCGCTGGGCCCATATACTGAGGGTGGTGGGCTCAAACCCAGCCACAGTCAAACTGCAACAAAAAATAGGTGGGCATTGTCGTGGGCACCTGTGGCCCCAGCTACTCGGGAGGCTGAGGCAAGAGAATAACCTAAGCCCAAGAGCTGGAGGTTGCTGTGAGCTGTGATACCACAGTACTCTACCGAGGGCAATAAAGTAACATTGTTACTTAAAAAAAAAAAAAAAAAATAGCCGGGTGTCCTGGCAGGTACTTGTAGTCCCAGCTACTTGGGAGGCTGAAGCAAGAGAATCACTTAAGCCCAAAAGTTTGAAGTTGCCGTGAGCTGTGATGCCACGGTACTGTACTGAGGGTCACATAGTGGGACTCTGTCTCAAAAAAAAGAAAGAAATGAGAACAATATAACCTAACCATTTGTACCTTCATATTAATCTGAATTAAAAAATCAAAAAACAAAAACAAAAAAAACTAAACAAAAACCAAGGTCCCTACAGAGATTTCAAATAGCCACAGATCTGCAGGTAAGCCAGTCATCCAGTGCAGACCCCAAGAGTGCTGCCATAGCCTGTGAGTGCAAAGAGCTAGGGCCATCCAGCATAAACCTTGGTCTGGTCAATCCACCAACTATGGCCAGACTAGATCAGTTTTCTCTGGATCTGGCTGGCTTGCGGCTGTCCCTCCCAAGTTTTGAGGATAGGGCAGATCCCCATCGTGCCCCACTGTACATGGGAGAAACTAAGGCTCATAGGAGATAAGCCCTGGGTGCCCTCTCACCCCAGGTACCTTCTCACCACAGCTCCCAGACTATGTGCCCAGGCACCTGGAACGTAGCTCTGTGTACTTTAAATTTCCAAGGGAAGCACATGTGTATTGTCAATAAATCTTATCCTTGTGGTGCTGGGTTTTCCAGGATAACCATGGCGAGTCCAGGCACCTCCTGAATCCTGTATGAGGACTGATTCCACAGGGGCAGGGTATGAGGGCCATAGGGGCCACAGGGACCACCTAATGGTGGGTGCATGCCTCTCCCAACAGCCATCCTTGTCCTTCCTTCCTTCCTCAGGTGACTTCTTTTTTTTTTTTTTTTTTTTTTTGAGACAGAGCCTCAAGCTAACCCCCCTGGGTAGAGTGCCGTGGCATCACATTCACAGCAACCTCCAACTCCTGGGCTCGAGCGAGTCTCCTGCCTCAGTCTCCCAAGTAGCTGGGACTACAGGCGCCCGCCACAACACCTGGCCATTTTTTGGTTGCAGCCATCATTGTTGTTTGGCGGGCCCGGGCTGGGGATTCGAACCCGCCACCTTAGGTGTATGTGGCTGGCGCCTTAGCCGCTTGAACCACAGGCGCCAAGCCTTCTTCAGGTGACTTCTGACCATGTTCTCCTGCCTAGATATCGCTCTAGTGTTCATCTTGGCCTTGGTGATCCAAGGTCACCAGCTTGGCAGGCCCTCCCCAGTTCTCCCCATTGGGGACAGAAGCTACTTGGGTTCTCCTACCTGAGGGAAGTCACTGCTCTTTGGCAGGAAGCTGGAGGCAGAGGCCGCAGGGGTATAGCTGGTGTCTGGGCAGGGCTGGCCACCCAGGAAGGAGGTGGAGCTCATGAACTGGCTGGAAAGGGAAAGGATGACAGTGACAGTCAGGCCTGGAGCCCACCTGGGGCTCACCACCCCGACTTCCTTGAACCTCTGGGAGCTTCAAGAAGTTGAGGTGGTGGGCCCAGCATAGACCACACCATGGCAGCTGCACCCAGAGGCTCTGGTGAGGCCCCCAGGGGACAACTGTGGAATATACCCAGTCCTGGCAGGCCCCTCAGACCTGTCCAAACTGGACACAGAGCCTAACCTCATGTACAGAGGGTCTGGAGTACCACCCTGACCTATAAACAGGACAGTGATACAGGTTCATGCAGCCTCAGGAAGGACTCTGGCATCTCTTGACACTCAGCTTGCAGGAGGGCCCCAGGCATGGGGCACAGGAGCCAATTCAAACCCTGCCAGGCCATCCCTCTCACAGCCCCTTCAGCCTCCACCTAACTCATAGCACAATGGGGCAGAGGACAGGACCACCCCAGAAACCCAGAAGAACCTTCCTCCAGGGAAAGGATCACATCACGGTCTACCCACTTGCGGGTGCCTCTCCCTAGACCTCAGGAATTAAACGCCCTGCCAACTGGGAGGGGTGGACAGTGCTATACAGGACCTTCTCTACTCAGGACCCCCAAGCTGGACCCCAGTTCCTGGGCAGAGGGACAGCCACCATTCTTAGGGGCTCTGCCCTGATACCAGGCTTCCCAGGGTTCTCCCTCCAAAAGCTTCTCTCCAGCAGGGCCTAGGTGGAGCCCACATCTCTGCCCAGTGGGGAGCTAGAGAGCTCTGAATGGAGGCAGCCTGTGAAGAACCATTGCCAGATAGCAGCACCTATGAGGGACCTTCCCTGTGGGTTTGCTAAAACTAATAGGAAAGTAGCATCCACTCCTTCCTTGCTGTGCTTTTGGGATAAATCCCCCAGTTCCATCCTCTGACACCCCCCTGACAGAATCCTGCAGAGACTGCTGCATCCTTGGCCCAAGGTGTCCCTGCCAGGCCTACTCCCTTGGCAAACTCTTAATGACCCTCCAGAACCCAGCTCAGCATATCTAACCCTTCCCATCCCATGTCACCCCAATAGTGGAGCTCTCCCCAGTCCCTCCCTCCCTTGGCCCTCTCCCCTGCTACATTCTGGCTAACAAAGATCCCAGCTGGTCACAACACGGGATTCCAGAAGACAGCCTCTGTGCCTGGTCCTGGAGAGGATTCTGTGCCAGAACCCTGTGCTCTGCCATAGCCCCTGAGTGAAGTCCTAGGGGAGGTACGGTGGGGATAGAACCTGTGCTGAGGCTTGGCCAAGGTGAGACACTTACTGGTTGTCGCTGGAGAAGACTGGAAAAGGCGGTGGCGGTGGTGACAAAGTGTTCCACCAGGGATAGTGCAGCATGGTGTTCTGTAAGAGGGGGGCAGGCATCAGGTATGGCAGGAAGGAAAGACAGCAACCCTGCAGCACAGGGTCAGAGTTCAAGAGGTAGGGAGCAAGGGCTCTGCAGTTGGGGTGTGTTCCAGCCCCTTAAAGTTGTAGCACCTGGGAAGTTACTTAACTACTCTGTGGCTTAGTTTCTCCACCTGCATGAAAGACCCTCACCTATGCCCTACAAGAGGAGACCCCCTCAAAGGGACAGGTACTGGGATTAGGGTTCCATCGGATTTCTCAGTATTCCCTGAGAACCCCAGGCTACTGCTGGGGATACTGTGATAGGGGGAGGTTTCAGGGCCTTCTCAGAGTACACAGGGGGCTAGGGTTCCAGGGAGTCCACTTTGGGAAATGATGGTCAGTGGCCAGGAGGATGAGCGTGAGCTCAGCAGGGATACATGGGCTCCTGGCCCCAGCTCCTGGATTAGACAGGACCACAGACACACTGAGTGAGCTTTTATCTGCCCAGACCCTACCCGAACTCTTCGGAAGAAGCTCCCTGTGCCCTGATTGAGGTATCCAGACCTTCTACTGGCCAAGCAACAGAAGAACCCCTTAGGGTGGTCATTGCCCTGTTCTTCCAGTTTTTGCACAGGTTACAAAATAAAGTTTATCCAAAAAAAAAAAAGGAACCACTGGCTCCTCCCCTGCACCAAGGCCAGTGGCCTCCAGGCTTCCTGTGCTCTAACACTTTCAAGAACTCCAGGGAAGCTTCCAGAAGAAAGCAGGACCACTGTGGCCTACATGAGGTCTCCTCAGGCCTTGGTCTTGTATTCCATCTCACACTTGCCTGTGCAGGAGAGAGAGAGAAATGCAGCCCCAGAAGGGGATTTGGTCTTTCTAAGGCAATGAGACATATCCAGAACATTCTGGAGAACTCTGATACCAGAGCCCTCTTGGCCTCCTGAAATGAATTACAGTAACCAGGCTCGGCGCCTGTGGCTTAAGTGGCTAAGGAGCCAGCCACATACACCTAAGGTGGCGGGCTTGAATCCAGTCCGGGCCCGCCAAACAACAATGATGGCTGCAACCGAAAAAAAAATAGCCAGGCGTTGTGGCGGGCACCTGTGATCCCAGTAACTTGGGAGGCGGAGGCAGGAGACTTGCTTATGCCCAGGAGTTGGAGGTTGCTGTGAGCTGTGATGCCACGGCATTCTACCCAGGGGGATAGCTTGAGGCTCTGTCTCAAACAAAAAAAAAAAAAAGAAAAGAATTATAGTAACCAATCAGGGTATGGAGGCCTCAAGCCAGGTCAGTCAGGGCAGCAGGTGAACTGAACTGTGGCTCCAGAGCAGTGTGGAAGGCCTCAGAGGTCAGGGTACGAAGTATAAGGGTCCGAGGCTCACCTGACATGCTCTAACTGTGCCCAGGCCCACCCTTGGAGAGCTCCCAGGACAGAGGATGCCCAGGCCAGCAGCAGGCACTGGGACAATGGAGACAGTAGAGACACTCTCTACCCACCACTCTGGCCTCAACCCCAGCTTGTGGTTCTGCTGGAAGCTGCCATCAGGGATACTCCAGCCCCTGCTCACAGGGTGGCAGGGCATGGCAGGCCAATCAGAGCCTGTCTGAGGATTTCCCACTGGTAGCCCAGAGAGGGTGGTACTGCCTTCAGAGGGCAGGCTCTAGTATATGATTGGTCCAGACATATGCACCTGACTTTGGCCAGCCAATCAGAGCCTGCCTAGGGATTTTCTTTTTCTTTCTTTCTTTCTTTTTTTTTTTTTT